CAAAGGGTTATGTTTGATTTTTTTATATTTGCAACGATGATGATTTCCTATAGTGACACATATCACCTTCTTAATGCTTCAGTATGCCTCAAACGATTAATTCTTGGTTGTTAATAGAACTTCCTTGATGAAATCGGTTGCTTCACGCAGACTGAGCAATTCTGATTATAGTATCAGATTTGTTCTGTATACAGAGGAACTGGGAGGGCTTATTAGAAACTTCTCACCAATAAAGTAATGATCTTCTAGTTAATTTTGCATATAATTTTATTAAAATTTTATTTTATTTTAGCATATTAGTTTTGTTACAGTCAATTGGCATTAGCATACGATACAAAAGATTTAATATTACTTGCTGGTTTTTGTGTAAAATAATCAAAAATACCTTTGGAAGATTTTTTAAGTTTTTTGTGATCTGATAGATTTCCCAGTTTGGTAAGAAGTTTCGAAGCTAACGCATGTCCACAGGATTAATAGAAAGATAGGCAGAAAAAGTGTATCATGAAGAATGGTTGCATGCAGGGTTGCTTCCACTCACTTGCTATGTGTGGCAGATGAGTGATTTTCGGAGTTTTGAATTCGTTAGATGTTGTAATGGGGATTTGTGTTTGTTGGGTGCGGGAGGAGATTGGAGGACCGGTGTTTGACGCAAGAGCTGTCAATTTCGCTTTCAGAGTGTCGCAGCCGGCGGTTTTATGATTCGTGAGCGCTCGCGATTCGTAGAATCGTTGATTATGGGTTGATTTGACGGGTTTTGTGTGTCGGACGCTTGCCTTTTGTGTGCATGTGCAAGGTATTATTATAGCGTCAAATGGTTTTCAGATTCCTATTTGTGTGAAATACATTTGTGAGAATATCTTTTTTGAGATTTTAGTAGTCAGATTTTATTAGTAGTAGTAGTAGAGCAACTTATCGTCATAAAATTAAAAATTACATTTAGGTATTAGTCAAAAAATGTGGATAGTAAGTTAGATATGTTATGGTATGGACTTCTGCAACGTTTTTTGTTTGTTTGCTTTTTTTTTATTTATTATTTTTTTTTTAGTTAATTATTCTTGAACGCAGTTAAAACTAGGAGATGAGGAAGAAATATAATCATTTGGTGCAAACACACAAACACATACCCACACACAGATACACAAACACATCATGACATTAGACAAGAAAACATCCAGACATTAAAATTGACGTACTAATGAGAAGAAGACATAGACAAAGACAGACCAAAGATTACCGAAACATAAAGATTTTGAAGAAGATTATGTTGAATCAATATCGTGAATCCGGTGTATAATTGGTCACCATAGACTAATCCGTCCGGCTTCGTAGTCACTTGAAAATTTTTCTCATCAACCCCGATCATTGCAATCCTATGGGGATAAAAAAACCCCCTTGGAGTATTTTAAAGAATTTCTTTTTAATTATCAGCATTTTTTTGCAATGAATTTTGTTGGAGTTCTGTGATGAATCTTTAGCACTAGGTTGAAATCATCATAATTCTCTTGGAATTCTTCATAATCATTTGTCATTTTCCTCACGATTTCCATACAAATTTCCTCAGAATTACATAGAATTTTTTCTTAAAGTTTCTTTTCACAACTCCTTTTGAAATCTCCTTCGAAACATATGTGGGAATCCTCCTCAATATTCGTTTGCAATCAACACATTGAATACTTCCCTTCCCTTGGCTAGTTTTTAACCTGGACGTTGGTGGGCGGGCCTAATTTTATGCTTCATAATGGAGCATTGGAGACGGTTGGTTTAGGTCCGTCATCGTTTGCAACATGCCGTGGCAGAATAGCGTCATGAGCATGCGATGAGCATTACTGAGCTTCCCCTCTCTGATGAACCATTGCATAAGAGAACCAAAGTTCTAGCCTGAAGTGATAGTATCACATTTGTTACTCCTTTATTTGAAAGCCGCGTTGTAGTACGCTTACGTATAAGCATTGACGTTGGGTGCGATACTGGCGGGTTTTGCCGCAAATCATTCTTATTTTATTTATTTTTACGCAGATAGATTTATTTGGGTTTGCAAGGGAATTATACTATTGAAATATTTCAGAAAGTGCCCAACGGTGCTCCTTCTATTTGCGTGACAAGCTTTCATTGTTGTTTTCATTGAAGCATTACTCAGGAAACAATGTTAAACATCATTTTTGTACATGGTATTGTAACTAATCTTATATATGCTTCATTTTGGTTTGGGATAAGTGTTTGAACTATGGCTCGGGATTTCCACTGTGACGTGCTTCTATTGTGACATATCCATACGTAACATAGTGGAAACGTGTGAGTGTAGTTGGAGCATATACCTTATACACTGAAGTCTTTTTTTTACTCGTTTTTTTTTACGTGGTTTTTTTACACGGTTATTTTTACACGGTTTTTCGCGATTTACACGGTACGTTTTTAACGACTTCTCGACAACGATACAACCTATCGACTTGATTTCAATCACATTATCCGTTTCAAGCTATAGGTAATCGAATGGAGTACTTAGAAAAAATCACAATTTTTGGTGTAAATACCGAATTTTTTAAAATATGTCTATATGGACCATAGCATGCTATAATTACAAATGGCATCAAAATCCGAGTTTTTAAAAACATTTAAGCATGTGAAAAATCAAAATCTCGCAGGTTTTTTTTTGCACGGTTTTTTTTTACACGGTACGTATCCCCCGTGTAAACAAAGACCTGAGTGTATAATTTAAAAATCAGCTAGGAAACTAATTTCAAAGTGACGCATTTTAGTCTCTTGAAGGTGTCACCTGAGTCGATCGAAGATATAATAAATATAGATCAAAGTCAAAATTACTTGGAACACGTTAAATTTTAGATTACATAGCAGTTTAGGTACTTAATAAAGCATGAGTTATGATTGATTAGGTAAATTAGAGAATTCAATTATTTAGTAAATTAGACTTATGAGATATCATAATCACCAAACGAACTTAAATAAGAAAATTTGGACAGCCTAATAACATTAAGTAGATCAACAAAAGAGCTAGGATGCGAGGGAGGCAACTAGCCTTTTCATATATTGTCTGTTTATTTTGATGGTTGCTTTAAAATATCAATTTGGTATATATGTGAAAGGATGAATCAGTGGGAGATGGATTTTCGGTTTCTTTACATTTTGCAACACAAATCTAGTACTATGTGTCATTTTCTCAAAACTCCCAATAACCTACCTCTTCAATCGCTTCCTTTTCCCATGGCGTTCAAGTGGTCCGCATAGACTATTCAGCCATTACCCTTCCTTTCTTCTTTCTTTTATTTAACGTCGGTCTCTGTTCCGCAATCTAGTGCCAATCACCGACGGACATCGATTCCCATCCATTGACGGCAATCGAATGTGCAGAAAGGCAGCCTCCACACCTGCGTAGGATATCGCACCCATTCAACACACATGGGCCGGCCCTTCCTTTATCCTCGGCTTTGGATTGACTTGCGCTCCCATTGCCCCACCAAACGCTGCAAAATGAAAATGAAAATGAAATCAACACTTTGAATACTTTTGAATTTTACTAAAAAATCCAGGGTTTGTCCGTAAGATTTTAAAGGTTGATCTATAATTTTTTATAACCCTTAAAATGCTTCCAAGTCTCAGAGCCTTGACAATTATGATTCAACAACTCATAAGTATGATTTTTTTTTCAAATCTGTGAACTTGAATTTTTTTGAAAATCTCATATTTTAATTATTTTTTCTACAAATCTTGAATCACGAAGATTGTTATTAATCACATGTTTTGAAGAAAAGTTCTAGTTTCAAACTCTACACAAATTTTGGTTTCTAGTTTTAGACTCTACACGAATTTTGGGAATCTTCTTAAATCATTTTTTATCCTTTAGGTAAATAACGTTTCAGTAGTATTCTTCAATTATTGGTCTTTTGGACTAGGTATTAAAGTTAATGAAACATGTTTAGTTTCACGTTGAGCGAGTTACAAAGTCAGTAGTTTTTACATATTTTTTTTTTTTTGTTAAACTTTGTACATCAGCGCGAGTACTGAAAGGTTAATATTTATGTTAGAAACGGAATGAAGACACATTTTCTTTAACCGATACCCCTAATAATTTAATCTAATTATCATTTGTAGCAAGTTAATTTTATTCTGAAACATTTTTTTAAATTAAATGTCTTATATTCCACAATTCTGTTTTATAACCTAATCATCCAGATAGCATTTGGCCTAGTGACCTTAATCTCTGTTACTCAATAAATTCTAGGGCTTTTAAATCATAAGCATAAAAAGTGATAGAAATTGATTTTTTAAAGTATCTCGAAAGATCAATTATTTGTTTTGAATACATTAAGTGACTTAAAGACTTAATTTTTTACTTTCAGCTTTAACAAATACTTTCTGTAATTTTGGTTTTATTTTTCCCACAAATAACCTCCAAAAATTAACAGTTGACCACGTTTTTAAAAATGCGTACAATTTAAACCTTTAAAATTTGTCGAACCTCTTAACGGAATCCCTTTATGAAGAGCTTTGAGTTTGTTGGCTTATTTCCTTTAAATTCCGTTATAATTGCTTATCTTTTGACAGATACGCATATTTCGTCAACTATTTGCAGACTTAATCAGTGCCAAGTACTCAACACCACTGAAGTCTGCAAGTAGTAGACGAAATACGCGTATCTGTCAAAATATAATCAATTATAACGGAATTTAAAGAAAATAAACCAACACACTCAAAGCTCTACGTCCAATTTAGTTTTTTCTTGAATATTAACAACCGAGAAATTTTTAAGATTTGAACCGGGAAAATCGAGAAAAACCAGGAATTTCAAAATGAAAAATCACTGGTCACCCTGGGTGAAGGAAACGTCAGTGGCGCACAATTCTGCGCATGCTTATTGTTATCATTTCAGGAAAGCTTATTGACGCTCGTTCCAAAAGTTAAAATGTTGCGCTTGGGTTCTTTACTGCAAATTTTTACAAATTTATTTGTTAATAAAAATCTAAACACCGGTTTTGCAATACCAGCACGACGCATAGTTGGTGGTCAAACGATTCCGATCGCCTCGGCTCCCTACGTGGTGGCCCTGGTAGATAACCTTGGACAATCATGCTGCACTGGTGCTTTGATAAGTTCTTGCTGGATAATGTCGGCTGCCCATTGTGCGACAAACCGAGCAACTCCGGCTTTTATCCGAGTCGGATCTAAATTTGGAAATAAAGGTGGTGAGCTGTACGGAGTAGAAAAAATAGTGAAACACCCGAACTACCATCCTAGTGGATACGACTATGACTTGGTATTGATCAAGTTGACCAACGATGTCCCGTTCAGTAGCGCGGTGAAACCGGTAATGTTGCCGGCCTTGAACGAACCCCCCCTACCGGTCGGAAAGATGCTCATTGTGTCAGGGTTTGGCAAAACTAAAACTTTTGAAGATGTGCTAAATCAGCAAAAGCTGCGCTCTGTAAGTGTACCGATTGTGAGTCAACACGACGGCCAGCTAGCCTACCCCGGCCGTGTAACAGACCGAATGATGTGTGCTGGATATCCTGACGGTGGTAAGGATAGTTGCCAAGGCGATTCCGGTGGCCCCCTCATCGACGGTGATACACTCGTCGGGATAGTTTCTTGGGGCAGAGGATGTGGCATGCCCAATTCCCCTGGAGTCTACGTCCGTGTCTCGGCTTTTCGTGATTGGATTAACGAAATAACTGGAATTTGATCTAACGTTGTGTAACGTTCTTCGACATCATTCTCAGTGTGTGGAATATACACATACTATGAAAAACTTTACATTTTGGCACTCTGGAGACTGATACGAGTGTCATTTCCATTATAAAATCAAAGCTTAGAAGACAGGAAGCAACACAACACCTGATTATTTTTTTTTTAATATTTCCATTTTGATTGTTAGTAAAATAAAAGTAAAATTAAACATATGTATACTGCGTTTTCTTTATTCAAGTATCACAATTGGTATAAACATGAATTTGGGTTCAGAACGCTGGGCTGGGCTTTTTCTGATGGAAACGATGCAGTATTTATCGATCATTTTTTAATCATGAAATGGCAAATCATCACGGCAATCATTCCTTTTGCCAGTGTCACACTACCGTACTATAACGAAACTATTAATTCCATACTTTCATCTCCTCATCTATCGTATAAAAATGTTCACTTTAAGTCATCTCCAACTATGTAAATCGTTACCTTCATGTATGACGTAATAAAACCATGATTAGTTAAAGGACAAAAAATTGCTTCCAAAAAATTTGTTCAGGTAAGGTCAATCGAAGTGGATCAAAATAAGCTCCATATGTTTCTATATTTTAGGATGTCTACTACCTTGTCCAAAGCATGGCATGCTTTATAACCGCTCGTTTACTGACTATGTAAACAGGATGCCCCAGGATACTTCCAGTAGGAGCGTTATAATCCAGAAAGAGACGCAGTATATCTTTTTTACTGAGAAATGCCACACCCATGATAACACATACATTCGATTTGATAAAATTAATTACATGTTCCATGAACAGGTTGGACATGCAGACGAGAATTCCGAAGAATCTCTCTTCTGCTTGTGGTGTCACAGAGTTTTAATATACCATAGGAAACCCAATGTCATGACTTTGTAGGAAACACACGTGCGACCATATAGTGTTAAGATCAAATTTCCTTCATATTTAGCAAAACTCACTTTTACCTCTCTTTGTCTAAAGGTTTTTAATAGAAAATTGAACGTTTTCATGCCACATACCGTTAGATTTGATATAGATTTACAGATTAAAGATTGCTTATTCCGGAGTAGTTCTCTACCCTAGTAACTTGGCTAGGATTTCCACTGAACCTTATCTGAGATTTCTTGATTTTGCCGGACATCTCAACATTATTACTGATTCTGTTTAAATTTCCTTAAATCTGAATTTTAGACGCCGTGACAACAGGCAATTTAAAGGACTTTTCGGATATAAGAAAAAATAACTTCCCACATTTCAAGCGCAGCCCAGTCGACTTCAGTGGAAAATATTTAGGGAAACAGTTGCGCTTGCGCCCAATAGTAAACTAAAAGCTTTCGATTATGAAGAGCTTTGAGTGGGTTGGTTTATTTCCTTTAAATTCCGTTATAATTGCTTATCTTTTGACAGATACGCGTATTTCGTCTACTACTTGCAGACTTCATCAGTGCCAAGTACTCAACACCACTGAAGAATCCATCTTTTATCTACGAGTTATATACTAATCAATAGGTACTAAAAATCAGCAGGTATCCACTGCCATGTCAAAATTTATCTAAAAAGGTACCTAAATTCAGTCTCCAACAGGTAGAGACATGCTACGATGTGTTGTTTTAGGTAGCAGGTAGCAGGATATTAATGTTTTCCTTAGTCAAATTGTGCCCCTTTTTAACGATATGTTCTGCAACCTTGGATTTAAATTCATAATGAAGTCCTTTATCCATCTCTTTGTTAGCTTTCGATTGGAAGCTTTGCTGAAGCTCGGTTTGTTGCGCGGCTTCACTATGTTGCAAGGTTTGATTCGTTAATTGAACTCCCAGCACCACATCATCTTTTAAGAAAACCACATTCACAGAAGGAACTTTTAGAATGCATCAATTAATATTGATGAAATTACACAACAACAGATTTGAGCTTTCTTGTCATTGTGAGATTAATTGTACATGGGAAGAAACCTTATAACCATAATCAAATTTCATAATATTGCGCTGATTCCGATTTCTAGCATCATCGGAACATGTATTAAAATCAACTATTGAGATTGTTAGATCGAGAAGTTAAAAGTATCGATGACACAGTTTCACATGTGCATCCCTAGAAAACTAAGTATGAGAGCGAATTTCTTCCGCCGGTCCGCTCTTGATCCCTATGTAGATACAGCTGACGATCGATCGCTAACGATCGGGTCAGCTGTGTGGCACATAGGTACGAAAGGTTCTTAAGATCAATTTGATAAATTCACTAATACCACATCACAGCTCCAGGACTTGTCCTAGGAGCTAATTAAAAAAAAAAAAAAATCGTTTTTTTTTTTTCTAAAACGAGATTTGAATCCATGCTACTAACAGCTCTTTGGAATGACCCCTGTCGCCGTACCATCTGAGCTAATTTTTCTTCACACATGTTTAGTTTTGTTCAGCCGGTTTTGCTTGAAACAAATGCGCTTTTGCCGAAGCTTCGGAATTATTAATTTTCCATTAGATGTCACTGTTGTTGTTTGCGGTGATTTCTATCGGCAACTACGCATAATCTGTTTTCAGTAAATTGTTCACAGAGTACAGCGCAGTGCAAAACATGTATGGTATATATGCATTTAGATTAATATCCGAAGTCCTTTCTTTTTTGCATACTCTAAGAAATGTCCCCAGCTAAAAAAAAAGAGCTGTTCACCGCGTAACAAGAATCGAACCGGCATACTAGATCGCTTACTTTCTTGAATTAGCGCAGCCTGCTTACTATGTGAGCTGTTCATGCTCACAACCGTTAGTCGATTCCGTCGGATAAATCTTCAGCAGATGATCAATGCGCGAAACCTGACAGAATCGGTTTAATGCGTTATGATTCAAACGAGAGAAAAAGTGAGAGCGCGTTCATTATCTCCTTAAAGAGCAGTGAACCAAATGAACACAAACGCAATCACGCATGCGTCCGAATCCGAATATAATTTCAATATATATAACAATAGTTACATGGTAGTGGGACGAACTCAAAAAAAGTGGGACATGGCTTTTTGCGACCCAACTATTGAGTGTAGCATTTTGATGTGTTGTAGAATGTTTCTTTATTTTTTGAGTACTTTATTTGAGAGGTGAACATTTTTGCTTAAGAGGGGTTATACACACTAAGATAAAAAAAAAACTTTTTTAAGTTTTGTCAAAATTGATGAACATCTATGAAAACATTCTAGAGGAAGTCATTTTAAGAAATGTTGTCCAAGACGACAATTTTCTATCTATCAAGTGTAAGACGTTGTAGGTAAAAAATGGAGAACAAACGTAAGTACCCCCTTAAAAACCGTGTTTGCCATAACTTTTTTGTTTGAATTCGTTTGAAGGATTTACATTCGTATTTATTATTTTTCAACACTATCTTAAAGGGAGTGTATCTTGCAGGTTAGCAGGTATTAGCAGCTAAACTCAACGTAATTTCGTTCAGCAACTTATACCTGTTAGATATACAATTCATATGGGGATCAAAGGGGATGTCTGATGAATTTTCTAATAAAGTACTTCAATGTACAAAAAGTTTGATGTTTTCATGACAATGTTTCCAATTATGTACAGCAATTGGGAACCCACCCTAAATACTTGGAAAAATGGTCAAGTCAGTCACTTTTTTTCATCAAAAAGTCACTAAAGTCACTTTTGTAAGACCAATGTTGAGAGTAAAGAGTTTGACTTAAAAAACTCACATCAAATCACAGCTTGATTTGTTAGCAAATTTGTATTAAAAATAATAATTATAAATACGTGTGTAAAGTTTGACAAGAAGATTTGCGAACAGACGGACACGGGAACCCAATTGATGTTTACGGGATCACTTATATTTTGATTATTTTCTATTCAATTTTGTGATATAGATATTCAAACCCGTTATTTCAAAATTTGTTCAGATTATGATTTTTTTTTCCTGTGATCTCGAAATTGTCAATCATAAATTTTCTGAGATTTCGAAAATAGATTCTAGACTAAATATTCTGACTATTTTACTTCATGATCTTGATAGTTTTCCAAACCTATGATTTCGAAAATTCGTGTTGGATAATTTTAAAGCGCTCAAAATTTTTACAAAGGCCATTCATCTTAAAAGTCTTTGTAACCCGGTAGCTTTAGTATTTGTAAATAATCGACAAAAAAAATCATGTCACAGAATCATGAGTATCGGGCTAATAATCTGCTAATCCAGAATCAGCAATATCCAAGACAAGGTTTTTTTTTAAATTAATGTTTAAGATCATAAAATGTTTTCTATGTTCAAGCCGCATTTAAATTGGTCACTGTGAACTTACATGCTATATGTTCAAAATATAGAACATTATTCCAGCTCACACAATTTTCTCGATTCCTTTGTCCAAGAGATCTCAAATTCCAAGCAATAAACAAAAAAAGTCCAAAACTCTGAAATTAATACCTAAATCCCTAATTTTTCACGATCGTAATTTTAAATCCTAGACGCATCCAAATTTTTATTTTATGTCCGTGATCTTCTATTTTGGAAAATTTTCCTTGCTCCATAATAATGCGATTTTTTCTTAGACTGCGATCTAGGAAAGTTGTCTAGGTCCTGGAGTTGAATTTGTATCTATGTTTGGGGTAATACAGATGATTCTATTCTTGGGAGAGTAAAGTAAAAACATGACCAGTGAGTTATAGCGACTGCCAAGAAGAGAACGATAATTTTATTCAAGTCCTCGTGGCTAACTTAGATGTACATTTAATTCTAGCCTACAGCTTTTCACGTCGCTAAACGGATCACTTCATCCATACCCTAGTTCTTTACAATTAACTGTCCTAAAATTTTGAAAATTTGTCTAAATTCGTGACTGAACATTTTTCTTTGTGCCTCAATTTTGCGATCTAGTCACCAATTCGCGATCTGCATCTAATGTCAAAAAAATAAAGGTGGACAAAAGAGTGCAGAGTGAGGAAATGGAGCTTAGAATTGAACTGTGCTCTTGTTTATTCAATTCATAATTTAAATGTATGAG